GCTGATTATAATCACGCGAGAAAAATACCGAAGGTCCACTGGCAAAAAAGCTTGTTGAAGGCTTTTAGAATTTCACTACATTCTCGGCCAAGATGAGGAATAAATGAGATACAAAATATACAGTTCGATAGAGAAATGAATGCTCTATCCAGTCATACAAAAATAAAGAACGTCTTATGTTCGGCAGAAATACAGTCGAACATTCGAGTTCTCAATGAACAGCGAATCCTTGACGGAAGAATTGGATTTCGTTAAAAAGCATATCGTTACATGCATCAGATGTGAGAAGCCAAGTCATTTTGGCGATCAGTGTAAAGAACTTCGCCACAATTGTACGGCTTGCGGCGAACATTACCAATCAAACATTTTCTCGACACCAAAAACTGCTGCGGGCCACATCGCTCTGGCTATACCGTCTCTCCCGTCAGCATCGAATACCCAAAGCAGCTATCTCATCATCGCCGAAACTCGTAACAAGCTGTTCTGATCTCTCATTCAAAAGATTCCTCAACATGCTTTTCTCTAAACGCCTTGTCCACGTAACGGTGCACTTCGCTGGTCAAGTTTTAGAAAAATGTTTTTTCGATATCGAAAGTTTTGAACACATGAGTAGATGCAGTTTTTTATTCTAAAAACCCGTTTCAAACTCGTTTTTCAAACAACTTCATTTTTCATCCAAAAAACCTGGTTTTGAACTTTTCAGAAACCGGATTTGTAATGTTTTAAGCAAAAGCATTTTTTAAAACAAATTTCTAGAAATATTTTTTTGTAGAGAATTGAATTTTCTACAAAACGGCGTATTTGTTTTTGAGTTGACTTGCTATGTACATTTTGTACATAGTTGTACAGTTTCCGACTTACCGTCCAGTTTTTGAGCTCTTATTTTGATACAGTAACTTTTTGCGCAGATCGATCAAATATATAAAGAACACAGGAAGCTGTGAAAATCAAAACTTTACCATTATGTTAAGTGCCTCAAATATGCTTGACCAAAAAATGCGCAACGCCGTGACGTTTTTATTTTGCATTTTACTCCCTAGCGAAAAGCGCTAGAAGAAATTTTCTTTTACCATCGGATGGCCCGTCAATTACTCTATAAATTTTGCTCTAGAAGTTTCCTTTTCACATAATTAACTTCACAGAAATAAAGAATTCCCAAGAACGCTCGAAAAAAAGGGTCTTTTTGCGTGACGCCATGACGAGACACTAAAATCCGTCTAAAAGCCGAATGCAACATTCAAAAAACTTCGTTTCCACAGCATAAGTAGAGCATGATGAACTGCGTTGATTAACGTTTGAACGAACTTTCTAGCTACTTTAGTTTCTGAGATAACCGAAGTTTAGTGCGTCTAAAACGGTTTTCAGAAAAGTTTAATGCCTGAAAAACAGAGATATAATTAATAAAGAGTCAATTATAGGAACGATTTGTTTTTGATTTTTCTCCTCATCCATGACTGCTAACAGAGCTGAAACCGATTGCAAAACTGTAAACCGGTCCGGTCCAGCCGGTTAAAAACAATACTTCTGTTATCAGAAAAACCTATATGTTTTTTGAGAAGTTAGATCTGAAAATAATTTTTACACATCTAGTTTTATAAGGTTTCCATCAGGCTGAACCCGATGCACTTTTTTGACTAATATAACTGCCGTTTATAACTTTCAGAAAACGTGTTTTTGGAGACAAAAAAATTAGTGTGACTAACACCCTATGTATATGGTGGTATTATGAGACTCATGATAGAAAAAAAAGGATGGATATTTATGTATTGTGGGTAACCATGCGTGTACAGATCGCTCATTCAAAAAAATCGATCATTCTACTAGAAAATTTCATTCGAGAAAGACATGTTTTCTCGGTGGTGTATGGTGTATGTTTGAATCTAGAAAAAATATTTTTAAGTAAAAATTTATTCTACATTTTTCTACTTTTTATTTATCTATATTTCATATTTTTATTTTCCTATTTCTGTCAAGTAAACTGCACTTGTCATTCATAGGAGATGATAGGGTACACGAAAAACTAAAAGAAAGATAATTTTGACTAGCTAGCTGAATGAGAAGTGAGAGCGTAATTTTTATCCACATAGAAAAATATCTGTTATATTTTTACATTAATTAGCAGCTTTCATACCTCAACAGCAATAGAATTATGAACAGAATGAGCAATGATCTGAAAATTCTTTGATTGTTAACTAGAAACTACATTAAAAGTAGATTACAAATAATAATCAACAGTGAGAAATATCAAATGAAAATATTTTCAACTTTATTTTACGATAAACATCTTTGTTATATATCTTGATAACGAGAATTGTATTCTTGAAACATCGATAAATAAAATTGTATGTAATTCAATTCAGAGACGTTGCTCATGTTTGCGCTGAAATTATCATCAGACACTAAACAACTATCTCAGTCACATCAACATTGTAGACACGAACTAGTTTACGTGTTTAAGCTTTATTACAATACAGGCTGTTTATATATAAAGATTCATCGTTGCCAGTACTTAATATTGACTCGGAAAAAAGTGAGAATACTACTGATCATGTTTTATAGTACATATTCTAGCATAAAGACATTGCTAATATCAACAATTCAGAGCAGATATACTGCATACAATTTGTCGAGTGGTTCATCGAAACAATATTTATGAGTTTTCTGATGCGTTTATCTTGCCTTCAAACATTATGAAGATACATTTGAGACCAGTTTTTATTTGCAATATCATAGTAGGTTTGAGAAGTTTCTGTCTAGTTCACTGAGATTCTGTAATATGAGCCATAAACTGATAAATAAAATACTGGATCAAATCACTATGAAAATAAAATGATTTACAGTTTTACAGTTCATTTTGATCTTAACTTAATTTTGAGATATGTTGAAATTTTTTTCAAACCATTTTGCTGTTTCAAGTTGAACAATGCTCGTCATTTTCATGTACTTTTATTTGTGAGTATACTTTGTGGTTACTAATCTTTTTGTTAAATCAGATATTCATATGTCTAACGTATCTAACTAAACACAGTTGATTAAATGATTGAAAATGTTTGATTTTTAGAACTTTATTTTCATCACCTCTTATGGCTTCAAAAAGTTTGGCAACATTAGGTGGTGGTTGTTTTTGGTGTTTAGAAGCTGTATTTCAACGATTAAAAGGTGTTGAAAAGGTAGTGAGTGGTTATGCTGGTGGGAGTGGAGCAGATCCATCATATGCCGCTGTATGTAATGGAAAAACGGGTCATGCTGAAGTAGTACAAATTACCTATGACCCACAAGTATTACTATATAAACAATTATTAGATGTTTTTTTTCACGTACATGATCCAACAACATTAAATCAACAAGGTATGTTGTTACATTAGTGTTTCAGCGATGTAGCCATACCTTATTTCTAGTCAACTGTATTTATACTATTATCTGTATGGTATATTTTCAGGAAATGATATTGGCACTCAGTATCGTTCGATAATATTTTATCATGATGATGTACAAGAAAAAGAAGCGGAATTAATGAAACGTCATATTGAGGATGAAAAAGTTTATAAGAATCCAGTCGTGACTGAAATATTACCAATTGATAAATATCCATTTTATAAAGCAGAAGATTATCATCAAAATTATTATAATCAAAATCCATCACAAGGTTATTGTTTATCGGTAGTTAAATCAAAGGTGAATAAATTTGTTAAAAAATATCCCGATTTATTAAAAAAATAATGTTTAACATTACTGAACACTTCACGAAATAATGACAGTACTTTTTTTATCTTCTTTCTATCGCTCTACTATTAATATATATTTTTTAGAAATATTAAACATGTCAATCTTCTTTATTTTTATTAACATTCCTTTATATCTTATTTTCTTTCTCATTCATTCATTTTTGAATATTTTGTTTTTTTGTTGGTATTTCTTTTATATTTAATTTATTAACATTGATGTAGTTTTGTGATCATTAGAAAACATAAATAGGAGTATTTCCAAATCAAATTCCAGTATCAGTAACTTCTCCGGACTTCATGGGATGTATAAAATATTAAAAGAAAAGAACTCAGTTTTAACGAACGCTGCACTGTAAAAAATAAAGTGTGTAAATGACATACATAGTGTGAACGCCAGGTAGATTCCCGATGACTGTCTAGAATGCACGGCGTATGTGTAAAGTACACATTGAGAAGTGACCGTCTGGCTCTACATACTGAGGCCAATGATATAGTCTACTTGTCTAAACTATCTGTGCTGGAAATGCCTCAGAGTCATCAATCAATTGTTCAAATCTACCGTATGGCGATGTTTTTTTTCACTTGTTTTTCTTATCTGTTTTTGCTGGAAATGATAGCATATATATTTTCGAAGATGGTGATCATGATTCTGAAATTATTCTTTATTTGATGTAATAGTTCGGGAGAAAAATGGAAAATAAGAAATCTTTTTAACTTATCCAGTTCTTTATACACTGAGATTGACCATCTAGAGAAGGTACACATGTTTCGATGTCGAGTGAACATTTAGAAGATTTACACGCCTAATAACATATTTTATTTTTTACAGTGTGTTCTTACTATTAAAAAAACTGAATGTTTTAAAATAATAAAGGCAGTCAATAACTACAGTGCACACTAAAAAAGAATGTGTTGCAGGTGAATGTTTTTTGAATAACTTTTTAACAACAAAAGCTAGCGACCTGGGGTTTTCTCCAATCGAAAGAGAATAGTTGGGGCAACAAACCTATGTGAAAATAAAAAATTTCCAAAATATTTTCCTAATTAATTAAAATTAGCGAAATTTTCCAAAATTAGCCTATTTTGGGGTGGAAAATTTTTTTTATTTTTTTCCGCTGAGTTTGTAGATCTCGAGGTCCTTTTTCGAATGGTATCTAAGCGATCCCCAAAATTTTGCTTCTTTGCCGAGATACAAGCGTTGTAAAAATGGCTCACTTTTCTCGAAATTCGAGTTTTTAGTTGTAAAAAGTGTCAGTATATAGGTATTCGAGTGTGCTGATCATCGTGCTGATGTCACTTTTTTGTTTGCAGGCGAAAAAGATGAGTTAACCGAGTTTTTTGAAAAAGTGAGTTTTCTATTAAGGGAAAAGGCAAAATATGCGGTTTAAAATAGGCCACCCCAAAATAGGCTAATTTTGGAAAATTTCGCTAATTTTAATTAATTAGGAAAATATTTTAGAAATTTTTTATTTTCACATAGGTTTCTTGCCCCAACTATTCTCTTTCGATTGGAGAAAACCCCAGGTCGGTAGCTTTTGTTGTTAAAAAGTTATTCGAAACATCCACCTGCACGGTTCATTGAAATTGATACTGTTATACGTTTTTAAAAACGGTGTGTGTGGGCGCGATACTTATAACGTTTTAACTATGATAGGTAGCGACCTGCGATTTTTAGATTCTGAAACTAGACACTGAAGAACGTAAATCTTTGAGAAAATCAGGGCTCTCAATCAGCCTTACCATGGTGTACCATTCGTCTGAAAGCTTACCGTTCCTAAACTACACTATGAAATCCAATCTCAAATAATACTAGTCGATAGCCAAAACATTTCTCTTCAAAACTGCGCAACGCTCAGATCTCCATCTCGTTTGGTTCCAGAGATACAGACATTTTCCGAGGACACGCCTATCTCGTTCCAGACATGTCTGGAAATCTCAGAAACATGTGGATCATAGGTAATCAACCATGCTGATCATCGTGTCGATGTTTGTTTCATTCCCCACCTAATCACAACCTCAGAAAAGCCAACTTGGCGAAGACCCGGTTTTCCGCCTGTTTCCGTCAAAAATTAAAAACCGTTTATTTCACTCATTTCTCGTCCAAAAACACATTTTCAGGAAATTCTTAGAATAGGTCATAGAATGTAGATCGAGTCGAAAAAGTCGGATCTAAACTTTAATTCCGTGGAAAGTTTTCCAGAGATCCTCTAAAAACTTGTATGCATAAACTGCAAACCCTATGTAATTTTTTTGACATAGATTTACGTCCCCCGGTGTCTAGTTTCAGAACTTGAAAACCGCAGGTCGCTAGCTATTATGATTAAAAAGTTATAAGTATCGCGCCCACACACACCGTTTTTAAAAACGCATAACAGTAACTAGTAACAACAGATCCTAGTTTGTTACTTTGTTACTAGTAACAAGTAACGCAGTTGTTAAAAAAGTAACAAAGATTTGTTACTTTGTTACTTTATTGGTAAAGTAACAAACAAAGAACACGTTTTTTTGAGAAAAAAGGTGTTTTTGAAGCGTTCTTGAAATTTTAGAGGGTGAGGGTGATTTTTATCGGGCACTTTTTTATTTCTTGTCAGAGTGATTCATTGCTTTTGTTTCTTTTTTCACTTTGACAAGAAATAAAAAAGTGCCCGATAAAAGTCACCCTCATCCTCTAAAATTTCAAGAACGCTTCAAAAGCACCTGTTTTCTAAAAAACGTGTTCTTTGTTACTTTACCAAAAGTAACAACTGCGTTGCTTGTTACTAATGACAAAGTAACAGTAATGGTAAACAGCTTTAAATTGAACATCGCTAATATGGAGAACAACTGAATTTCATCAACAAGAAGATGATGCTTTAAATGATAAAAGTTAGGAACAAACGGAAAAAGGTAGAATAAAACTGATAAACTATAAAAAATAAGAGAAAAACATATTTAGTTGCTGAGCGTAGCGAAAAAAACTATCCATGCATTCTGTGATTCTAAGTAGAGCCAGTTTATGTGTCACAATCGCCTTATTAAGCGGTCAGATGACCTGCTAGAAAAAACATGATAATGACTCATTTCCAATATGATACCACGCAATACCACTTACTAGCAAACTTCATAAAGCGCCGGTACACTGTTAGATCAATTATCAATTTTCTTGAACAATTCCTTAGTACATAACATTCAATTCACCTACTTTCAGACGCCTTAGAAAGCACACGCAATACCCAAACAACCTCAAAAGGGGATATTCCAACATTCAGCCAGGGTTCTATCTCCTTGTTTTTCAATTTTTGAAACAGCCCTTGTACTTGTCCGAAAAATCGTCACAGAAAATGACACTTTTTCTGATCTAGGGATAAAAAGACGCGGTATGCTTCGCACCCCATTAATTATTATCTCTGCGAATGATGTTTGAACAGAGTGTGAAACATACCATTATATACTAAGAGCAAGTAGAATATACTATCACCACATGTAGGTAATTTAATAAATTGCAAAGATAATCTGGCAGAAGTATAGACTAATATGCATGGTAAATGACTTATTAATTAGTTATTTCCGAGTAGGAAAGAGCGTTAAACTATTAAAACGAGAAATCTGTAATGGGAAAATAAAACCGATCAGATGGTTAGTCAGTCAATGGGAATATATATGAGAATAATCTTAGAAAATAATTACGAACATAACATCTGATTAAAAAACATTTTCGAATGTTGAAGAATCATTTCAAAGGAAACTAAGACTAATGAACATACATACTTTTGTTAAAACCGTTATAGAATGCATTAGCTACGAGCACTTCTTTCCAGATGAAAGCCAAGAATCCCTGATTTGTTTAATTTGGCTTGAATACACTGATAAACTGATACCCTATAGAATTTGTCATATGAAAATCTGCCGAAAATTTTGTTAGACTCTTCAGAGAATTTTATAAGGATTTTGTGTTGAATATAATGCGAATTTATGAGCTTCTTGTAAAGTTCTGATAAAAATGAATCTTTAGAAAAACATATTTTTTTAGAATAATCTAATGTATATAATAATACAGTCAAGGAAAGTATAAATCGACTACACGTGGATGATGAAACAGCTTATTCATATCTCATTCAAGCAAGATAAAACTTAGTCAACCATAACTGAAACAGATTCGTTGAATAAATGCTATTTAAAAATCTTTTAAGTCTAGGGCTAAATTACAGGATTTCATTTCCTTCTTAGACCTGAATTGTACATTAATATTGCCTACTTGAAAAGATTAGTTAGCTACAAAACGTATGTATAGCCTTTATTATTTGACACACAAAAGAATTTCTTCGACGCAGATAGGGCCTTAATCTGACTAGTGCAAAAAAATAATGCGTCTTAATAACTCTCCGATCAACACAAAGGGCTCATAATTATTATTCTCGATACGAGAGATTTTAGCAGTTTCTAGTAGAAATCTGCACGGGCACGAGAATTTCCGTGGCTGCGGACATACCCCTACTGCTCGTGAGCATGGATGGGGACGGACGGGCTTGACAGACAATCGTTCTCTCCGACGGACATGAGCTTTTGAAAACTTTTGCGTAACAAATAAATTCAGAATATGAATTGTTTGTGAATGAATGAAGCATAGGTAATAAAAGACATGCCAATGAAAGAACATGGTACACGAATGAGAAAATTTTCCCTGAGATATACAAGAGAAGTTATTTTTTTCATAGAAGAGAAGAAAATATTTGTGGTTAAAACATGATTTTTGTCATACTGTAGATTTTTATCCACGGGCACGGACAGATCCGAACGGCCAAAAAGATTCACGGACAAACAACCTAGAAAAATCTACGGACATGAGCGGAGACGGGCAGAAAACTCTTGCCTGTGTAGATTTTGAGTTTCTAACATTGCAGGTCTTGACGTTTTAAGTAAAAAAGAAAGTGTTTCGAGCAGGTAGTTTCTGAACACATATCAACGTTTTCAAGAAACATAGACTGCTAAGTGGAAAGAAATATTTATGCTTTTATGGAAAAGATTCCTGTCGATCTTTCTTTATATTTCACTATGGTATACGCATCGCACTTTTGTTAGATTAAATGACGAAAAACGCTTCAGCAAAACATAAAGCGGAAAAGCAACAAGAAGATGATCCAGTGACGGACGAACAAACAAAACAAGTGCTTAAATATAGTAATAGTTGGAAGAAGCATTTTCCCGTTACTACTGTTTTCATCTTAATTATTCTACAAGCAATACTAACTGTACTGATCTTCTTCTTGGAAATTGGCAGTCTTAGGGCATCAAGACTTCCAGAATTTGGCTCAACCGGTTCTGGAGTATGGTGTTCAATTGTGTTTTTAGTTGTTGTCCTCATGACCACTTTCCTAAGTAAGTTTGATGTTGTCTATTGAAACACATCATTACAGTGTAAATATTTTTTCACCGACACAAAAGCACAGCTACAATTTCAAGATAAATTTGTATTTTAAGGTTGTCTACGGTAGATTTTTTAGCAGTACCACGACTATTCATCTATAGATGAAGAAATCGGTCTGTTTTCTAAGAAATATTTCCATTTCTACGAAAAGTAGACATAAGTTTTACTATTATTATCTAGTTAATGTTCTCATCTGGTTTTTTGTCATTGAGATATTCTTATGTTTCACATTATATAACAGAGTTAGAACTAAAAGAAATTAATCGAGCAATCTGCTCCCAATTCGATTGAGAGTAAGTTCCGCTATGTTTAAATGATAAAAAGATTAATTTATATTATCCCCATGAGATCAAAGTTCAGTAACTTTTGTCAAAATTAATAGTGCTGACGTGAGTTATAAACAATAAAAAAGGTATAGCTGCTGGATACCTTTCGTTTGCTTCCAAAGGCATGAAAAAACGTTAAAAACCTTCTTTTTTCACCAAATTCTTTTCTTTATCGTTCTTCTAACTTTTAGAAAGTATTTCTTTCAGATTCAGCATTAAGAACTGAATATGAGAATGATGCTTGGTCGAGGTTGAAGGCAAAAGTGTATTCAGTATGGACATTTTCGACTCTGTCTTTGAAAAGTTCATCAACAATTTTGCAAACCTATCTAGGTTTTTTTTGTGAAGAGATGAAGTCGATTCTGTTACTTCATTAGAACTGCCATTAAACGAGCTTTAAAAGTATAGATTGCTTTATTTTTTATTTTGCTTTGTCAGTGGAGAAAATTCATTTTTTCTAGATCAGGAGCGAAAAAATTGGAATTCTACCCGTAGTTCTCAATTTTCTCCATCAGAACTCAACTTTATGCGATAGAAATAGCATATTCGGAATAAGCGTCAAAGACTGAGTCAAATGATATATATTTCGAAAATTTTCGTTGATTTTTATTTTTGGTGAAAATCTCAGTAATTTTCCTACGTAAAAATTCCAAAAAAAACATTAAGTGGTCGGATAGGATAAAAAAAGTACATCATTTGATTCAGTGTTTGGCTTAGTGTGTTGAAGCAATCTATATACTTTTAAAGCTCGTTTAATGGCAGTTCTAATGAAGTAACAGAATCGACTTCATCTCTTCACAAAAAAAACCTAGATAGGTTTGCAAAATTGTTGATGAACTTTTCACAGACAGAGTCGAAAATGTCCATACTGAATACACTTTTGACTTCAACCTCGACCAAGCATCATTCTCATACTCAGTTCTTAATGCTGAATCTGAAAGAAATACTTTCTAAAAGTTAGAAGAACGATAAAGAAAAGAATTTGAATTTTTTCAATTTATCGTTTTTAAAAGAAATTTTTAAAAGTTTAAAAGCTATTTTTCCGTAGTTCCATATGCTCTATACAATAATGTATAAATAAATGGAAAAGAAATTTTCCTTAAACTTTGAATTTCGGGCATAGTTAGATTGCCAACGTCTGTCTGATACTCTTCATCATTTTTATTTTTCTCTTTAGTCTTGCCTCCAAACCGTTCTAGAGCATGGTCAAGTTACGTTCTGATTGCACAAATTGTATTAGTTATATTTTCGGTAATCGTAACTGCACTTGATGGATATTTTATTGATCAGTGGTATGAATATTACGTTTTGAGTAATAGTGGCTTTGAGATATTACTGCCGCATTTCAAAAGAAAATTTGCAATTACTCTAGCACAATTTGCATTTGCCATTATCATGTTTTTTTCTGGACTATTTTATGTTTGCCTTTATTATACATTACCTATATTGCATTATTCAAACCATTCTTTACCTTTGATACGGCAAACATCTTTCGACGGGTCTAATATCGATCCAAAATTTTCATATTCATCAGACTGTTCCTACGAAAATAACTAATCCTATCGACAAATTACACATGAAAAAGAAAATTTTTGTAAGTTCAATTTAATCCGATCAGCAAAATACATGAATTTTCAATTTTCTTTCTAAAAATTCTGCTAAAATGTAACCTTAAAATACAAATTTATCTTGAAATTGTAGTTCTACTTTTCTGTAAATAAGAAAAATAAAGAATCGATCCGAATTGAGAATAATATTAGAAACGGATTATCTTATCCTGTAGTTGGATACCCTCACAATCCTGAAGGATATTCTCAGCTTTCTAGAGAAGCCTCACCTTCTGCTGGTCCAACACGCTCGCAAACAATCGGACAAGTGTTACAATTGACCACTGTTCTAAGCCCACTTGTATCTCATATCATACAGTACGAATTTCAACAAGAGCCAACATCAACAGTAAACATAAATTTAATAGAACATGATTTTACCGAATTTGTTCAATTAGAAATTAAAAAATATACTCATCGAAAACAAGAGAATATTATTCAAACAACAAATGTTGTCAAAGCAGAATTAATACGAAAAATGTTAAAAGGATTATAAATCAATTAAAAGCATAAATGAACTGTTATTTAAATAAAATGAGAAAATAAAATTAAGATCATAGTGAGTTTATACGTTCATGTATTAGGTTAAGGAAAAAGTTCGTGCGCCGTGTTAAAATAATGATTTTTTATATATTTTTTTTTGTGTTTTTGATCTGGTTTTGTGGCTATTATGAAAATTTATTGATTTTTTAAGATG